TTCAAGACTATAATTTGTATCATTGTGGCTTAAAAGATGAAACGGAAAGATCACGTATGACAATAAGAAGGTATGAATGATGCCATTTTATGTAGATAGGTTGTTTGTTTTTTCTTTGTCTCTTAATTTAAAAATGTTGCAAGGTTTTTTAGTTTTAGCACGATTAGTCCATATTAAAATAAGTTAGTTACCGAAGTTAAATAAAAAAAAATCTCTTCCGCCAAAAATCAACACTGCTTTTCAGTTAAAAGTTTTTAAATTTCCTATCTTCAAAAAAATTTAAAATAAAATTCATAATTTTTTAATTTATTTTATATTTAATTTTTAAATATTTTTCCTTTGTTAAAATTGAGTTTTGCAAACTTTACATATTTTTTGTGAATTCAATTATTGCTGGAAATTTCTTTTCTGCAAGATAAAATAAAAATGATTTGCTTTATTAATTCACAATTTTCTCAAAATTAGATTCGTTCCTAATTAGAAATTTTACTTTTCGACTTTGTCAACTCGTGGTCAGTATTAATTTTATATTTTATTTGCCTTCTAAAGAAAAGCAGTCATGCGGCAAACATAGCGGTTTATTGAGAAGAAAAAGGTATTTAGCGTTTAAACGATTTCTGCATACGAAACATTGATTTACGTCCCTTACATTATCTTAACACATTAATTTTTATTTTTAACTAGCCTCATATTCAGATTCAAGAATCATTTGTTGAGCGGTAACGAAAAAAATAATGTGAAGTTACGAAACTACTGAAGTGGTACATATCAAGAATTATTCTCGTTATGAAGGGAAAATTGTAGCCAGAATTCACAAGTATCTGAGCTTTTTGACTGAAAATATCATCCCATGACAGACGAAATATATGTGCCCCTTTTCTTCTGGGAAGATTAAACAAAAAAAAAAAAAAACAGGAACATTTTTTTCGGGGAATATCTTTTGTTGATTACCATTCATTAGACCTTCAAAGCTATGCTATTTTTTGTTAACAATGGAAAAATAAAAATATTGATGATATATATATTTTAAATCATTTTAGAAGTTGGGGAGGTCCTGTTCATAATACTGATATAGTGTAAAAATCGACCCCTGACTTTTTCAAGAGTTTTCTGAATTTATTTACAAATATCAAGTTTGAAACTGTTTTATCTCTGTATTATTTTTTTCTTGAATTTTTAAAAACTTTTGGTGGGGATTTTTTTTTTCAAAAATACATGCACAAACATTGTGAGATAATAATTATTAAATGAAGAATAAACTGAGATATACTTTTATTTATGTAAATTAAAAATGTATATATCTAGGTACCACCAAAGAAAAGTGATACCTAAGGTTTAAAATACATTTAATGATGATTGCTATTCTAGACTTGTTTGTATAATCTGCCAAATGCCTTCTTTGCCTTCACCAATCTGTTGTCAGTCTCCCTGACAATATGATGCATCTCAGGTATCTGAACAGGTGCACTCTCCTCAACTCAGTTTCTCTGATGGTGATGTGTGGAGAGCAGTGTTATTCCTGGGGTGAAGACTGGGCAAGAACTTCAGTCTTCATCAAACTGATTTTGAAGCTGAAGAGTTGGGCAGCACCTGTGAAGAAAGTGGTCATGTACTGCAGGTTTGTCTTTGTGTGAGCAACATAGGTAGCATCATAGGTAAAAAGTAGTTTAAAAATGAGTTACTCCATTGTCTTATATTTTATTTTTGGAAGATTTTTAAAACTGAGAATTAAATTTTGTTTACAAATGTGTCAAAATGGCTAATTTTAATGATTTTACTGAAAGCAACTAAAAGAAATCGATTCCAGTCAATATAATTCCTATTTGAAATACACCAGAGTATTTTGTTTACTGAAAATAGTAAATCACTTAGCTTTCAATTAAAGGTAAAAAAAGCTTCAAGAATGCTTTTTCATTTTTTAAAATTTGTTTTAAACTTTATGTATCAAAAATTAGTGGAGGTACCTATCTTAGTGGTAACCTGTAAATAACTCAGATTGAACAGGCTACCACCAGTTTGGTAGTGGATGTAGATACTGTCTTCAGTATCAAGGTTTTCTGTGGTCCTATAGAGTGTTATGCTGAAAAATATAGTGAAAAGTGTCAGTGTAAGAACACAACCATCATTTATATCATTTCTTATGGGGAAGTGCTTTGAAATTTCTTTTTTGTATCTGATTTGGCCATGTTGATCTTTGTGTAACTGAGTGGTCATATTGAGGAATTTTGATGGACAACCTAATCATTCCAAGATTTGCCATATATCATTACTGCTGTGTTGAATGCTTTGGTTTGGTTTGGTTTGCAATTATCATATCCAGACCCTTATTTTATTCTCTTGTCTGAGAGCAAATAAGTATGAAGCATTATATGACCCCATTAAAACTGTCATATTTGTTCAGGTCAATTCAGTAACATATTTCTTTATGGTTAATTTGTATTAAATTAAGTTGTAAATAAACATGTTTAGCTGGCTAGTTAGATCTTGCCCTTGTTTGGAAAGATTTAAAAAAAACTTGCTCACATGTGTGTGTTTTAAATGAAGGTAAGAATGTACAGCATTAAATCAGCATTCATATCTTTTTTTTTCTTTCTCCTTGGTCTGATAGTAATTACTGGTTGCTGTTGCTGCTAAACCTTATGCCATGAAGGCGTTGAGTCCACAAAAGCCACTCAAGCTCTCTTTGTCTTTGCAGAGTAGTAGAACATCTTTTAGCACCAGATTAATCTGCTGGAGACAATGTTCTTTGAGCAGCTGCATGGTTTGGCGTGTTAAACTGGTCAGATGCTCATGTAACTACTGATACCAAGAGAAAATTGCAACTTTCTTCCTATTAATTTTTTAGATGAAGTGATATTACTTTGAGACAATGATTCTTTTCTTTGGCTAATTTGGGAATATCAAATTGACTCTTTTCTTTAATCTGTAGTATCAGTTCTCATTCTTTTTTCAGAACTTGTGACCATCAGTTCTTCTTTATGATGCTACTCTGCCTTTATTGAATAAGTGCATATTCGTATGCTACATGACCCTGGGATTTAATTCACAGCAATTTCATCCAATGAGAAACACCTTGCAAAAAGTAGAAACAATAATCTTTGTAACTACCACATTATTAATCAGTAGAAAAGTTAATCTAGAACTGTCTACACAACCCATCCACTTGGTAAAAGTAAAGTTTGAGGAACCTTAGGAATCTAATCTATGGCGAAAATGTTGAGTCATATTGCTAACCTTGTGTGAAGGCAAATGAAGAAACACTAACCTTGATGGATTGAATGTTAGCTTTGAAAAAGAAGAGGGCAAAAAAAAAAAACATATGAATAAAAGTGTTGGTAAAGCTGATATGATTTCTTGGGAATATTCAGTTGATAAATGACATCATAAGGAAGAATTGATAATCAAAACTTTTGAAATTCTGTCAGAATGTCACCAGAGATATAGAAGGAGAATATATCCTCATGGATCAAGTTTTAAAGTATTCTATATTGTTACAGTAACAAAAAAAAATGAAAAAATAAAAATGCCATCTAAAAGAATCATTCTAAGACAATTACATCATACACTACAGCAAACTAAGAGGAATTTAAACTTTTTTTTTAAATGCTTGCTTCTAGTCCAATGCAATGCAATACAAAGTATCTATTAAAATGTTGTGTGTTGCACCTTTTTTTTTCATTCTATCATAAAATAAAATGTAGCAAGTTTAATGAAAAGAAAAGCAAGAACAATTTTAAATTTTCAAACTAATCTTCATCCAATACCTGAATATTCTTTTAATAATCATATATAAATTTTGGTCCATGGAAATTGTATTCAGATGTAGTGTTCTAAATATCATATTCACTGGCATATAAGATATATCTAGTGCCATTTTTAATGGATATCAGTTATCTCCTGTTAATTTCCCTCTGAAAGTTCTCCACTGCCTTAACCGGGTATTGAACTCACACTCTTTGGGTCCTGTCATTGGATCTAACTAATGCCTTTATCCACTCTGCCATGTGTCCTCAAGAACACATGACAGTGGATAAAGGCCAGTTAAGAAAAATATGGTCTTTATTGTTCAAGTATGTAAAGTATAATTTCTCATGTAAAATTTAAATCAATTAAAATGTTAATTTTCAAGTTTTTTTTTCACATTCATTGAAACTGTTATCTAATTCAAATTATCTTTCATTAAAACATTTTAAGGTTTTGAAAGTTGTTCCCCAATGATTTGAAAGAAAATTTCTGTTTTGACTCCCAAAAAATTAAAAAAAAAATAATTTTACATTGCAAATTTAAACAAATTCAATATTCTCTCTACTTTACAAACTCTTGATTATTTTATCTGCTCATCTATATATCAAACATAAAAATTAGTTTTTAAGAAGTTGGGAAATATCCTACTTTACTCACATTGCACAAAATGGAACTTCTTTAAAATTCACCTTAACACTAATCTCATTTTTAATGTTCCTGATTCTTTATGGGCTTGGAGCAATGTATACATTTCTTGAAAGTCTTTTATTTTGATATCTAAAGAAATTAGAAAAATCTATTATTTTTATGGCTGCCATTTTTGTGGTATGATCATATATACATTTAGAAAATTTTGGAGAGAATATGGATTTCACTAGGGAATGAGGCATATTTTTTAATTTGGTAGAATTAAAATTATACCTTCTGTCAAATTTATAAACAATTGCAAGTTTTATAGAATTCAATAATTTTAATCTCAAAGTTTATATTTATTGTGTGATTAAATTAAGAGATTAATGTTAGGCTATTTTGACTTTTTCATATGTTGAATAAAATTTCTGTGAGTTCAGTTATTTTTTAAAATTCAGTATTTTTCTTTGTTTCCAGTTAATATGGATGCTCTGTCAAGTTATGTAAATGCTGTCCTTGAGGATACAACAGTATTTATTAGTGGCAATGTGCAAACATCTGCATTGGCCCTGATTATAGCTACATCTCTCTTCTGTTCTGTCCTAGCTACAGTAGGTCAGCTATTGATGGACAGTCAATCAAGCAAACTGGTTAGTAGGACAACTAAAGAGAAATGCTCACGTTCAGAACGACAATTCTCATCTCCATTAAAGAATAGTTTTGAATTTAATGCACAGAGTTGGAGATGGAAACAAGCATATTCTTTTAGGAAGAATGCGGTGAGTTTTTTTTTTTTTTTATTGTTGTGAAAATGCCAGCATTGTTTCCATTTTTTTTCTTTCTGGAATGCCGTTCAATTTAATATTCTCATCAGTTTTTTTTTTATCACATTGTTTCAGTTAGTGCCTTTTCCAGCTTTGATGTATATGGATTTAATAATTCTTGACAGCTATCTAGTATCCTTATTGTTGTTATTGATACCTGATAACACTCAAGGTTTTCTAAGTGCTTGCACATTTATTGAGCTCAAATTGTACGTTAGCTGAAATATTTTGATAAAAACAGCAATGATGAGGATAAGAGTTTGAATAGAATAAATGGAATGATTTTTGTATGAAATTGCAAGGAAAAGAATTAGATTAACACCTGCTCTTGGAATTTGTTTATATTGTCATTTTAAAGCATATTTCTTTCTTTTAATGTTAAGATATCTGTTTTTCAATGGAAAAATGAGCTCACTGAACATTATAATCTTTTGCCTTGATTTGTTCAGTGTAACTATGTGACACTATTTAGCTATGGTAATTGACTAATTAACCATAGAAATTAAAAATGGGAAATACTTAAGGTGAGAAAGAGCTATATTGAAAGATAGACTGAGTGACGTTAAAAAGAAAAATTTATTTTATTTACAAAAGAAGATACTTTTCGCAAAAGACAGAAAATCTGTAAGAAAAAGCGAGACTGTGATTCTGTCAAAATTAATTAATGTCACGATAAGGGAAACGAAACAGAATTCTGAAAGAAAAACAAAGCCAACCAATGCATGCGACCATAAAAAATTTTCAGCTTGAGACCACCACAGAGAATAGATATTAATTATCTTTCAGAGATATCATTTAACTTTAATTCCTGGTTCCAGCGAAGAAAGCCATCTGGTATATGCACGAATCTTGGCGTGAGAAGGAAAATCGAAAAGGGAATCATTATTATTGCTTATTCAAACTGTTGACGTCAAACATAGCATCTCGAAAATGAGCATCTGGTGATAAGAGAATTTTAAGGCATGAGAAAAATAAAGAACTTAATTATCAGGTAAATACGACCACCCAGTTAAAAGTTGACTAGCAGAGAAGCCAGGTGTCGGGTTTTGACAATGATTAATGAGTTGGTAGAGGTCTGGGCTAAGTGGATTTGGGTGTCCCCAAAATTAAGATGTGATAAGAATTAATTAGCAATCTGGGATTTGTAAATGTTTTGGCCGAAGGAAAAGGAAAAAGAAAAAAAGTATTTTGTAAACAAAATTCTGGAATAATTCTAAGAGGGCCAGTCTAGCCACACCCACACTGCCGAGAGATCATTGGCCAAGTGTTAGCATGGGTGATAGGTGGAGGTGAATGTATGAGAAAGACGGAGAAGTTGTTAACACCCACTGAGGGGATTGGTATGAGATACCAATGTGAGGAAGGAAGAGTCTAGGAGGATAGTTCTCCTCCGACCTTCCCTCACAGACGAGGGAGGAACCCCCTGGAGTGGAAAGTGATTAATCTTCCAAAAATGGGAAGTAATTAATTTTCCTGGCTTAAGAACAAAGAGAATTCTGTTGGGAATTGAGAATTATCAAGGAACCCAAACCCCGTCAGACCCCCACACCGGGTTTAGTTCGGTGTCCATATAAACGAACGTCTTGAGGCAGCTGATCAGTTTGGAGTTTTGCAATGAGTTCCAGATAGTTTGAGTTTGGAGTTAGTTCGAGAAGTTGGAGAGTGTTGCCTTGCAGAAGCTGACCGAAAGATTTCCACGTCCTCTCGACTTAGTCTTCCTACCAAAAGCAAGTTTTTATTGACAAACAATTTAAGATACCATAACGCTTAAGAAATGCAGAAAGTGTCATGAATCCATAGAAACGGGCTGGGAGAGAAACACACTCCTGTATTCAACAGACAGATAAAGGTAATTGTTATTTCTCAACATATTTGAACCTCTTGAGTTTGTTTTATTTTTTTTTTTTTTTTACTTACGCTTGTGCGGTATCATATTTACCCCGGATTCAGCTTGCACTACGACCCGACGCCTGATTGATTTCGTCTACCTAAGATCAAAGTCACAACGTGGGTAGGTTAGACTTGAGATCAAAGCAGTTACTTTGGTGACCAGATGTTGGAGTCGAGCTGGGAACGACAAGTTGGTATCGAACCGGGAACAACCAGATCGACTGAGACACAGGCTGGTGGCAGCGACAAGGAGTCAACCCCAAAACGCTGGTGGAAGAAACCTTACAGCTTTGCACTGCAACTGGGAGTTGACCACAGGCTGACGGTGCAGTCATATATTGACATTACGACCAGTGGACGTCACATATTGGCACGGCGACCACACCAGAGGGTGTCACATATTACTGCTGGACTGTGACTGCGACCACTGGTGGGTGTCACAACTATACAATCATTTAATCTGAATAATTTCTGTCAATTTCAAATACTTAGGTCTCAAAAATGATACTCTCTTCAATTTTAATCATGAGTGTTAAAACAGGATTTGCTCAATAAACTGAGTGACAACACTTCACCAGAAATATGTTCACTCATAAGATATTTCAATAATGCGTAATGGCTAAATCCACTTTGGCAGGAAGGGAGACAAGCTACTTTGAGGAGTAGGAGTTTAATATCTTCAGAAATTTGTTAGCCAACGTTGGTGAGGTCAGTCCTAGGTAGGACCACAAGAGTCAGTGTAGTTAATAAAAAGCATTAATCAAATTGTTTTCCTCATCTTTGTTATTTACATCACTTATTTTCATTTGGCTGATGCACTCTTTAATATTTTCTGGCTGATTTTTTTCTATTGTTGTCTGAAGTTCTTAGAGAAACTATTATCATATGGAAAGGGTTGTACAATGACAGGATGTGTATAAATGGGCTACAAAGTTACGAAATGAACTAACATTTGTTAATCTTTATCACTCTGTATATAACTTCATTTGCTGTACAAAATGTTTATCCTGCCACTGAAGGTGACTGATGTCTGAATTGGAATTTGTTTGAATTTCATAAATGTGATGTCATATCCTGTTATGGCAACAGAAAACAACTTTGAGTGAAATTAACAAAAAGGATACTGCAATTGAGAGGCCTTGAAAAAGAATGCAGTAGAAAGGAAAGTAATATTAATAATGTGGAGTGCTAAAGGGTAAGAATGGGAAAAAAAAAAGTGGGGATGCCTGTCCATTACTGACAATATAGAGAAAGTCTACATTTTGATTCTGATGAACTGATAATTTACTATTGATGGTATGGCAAATTATATGCAAATCAACCATTTTTCTGCAGACAAAATCCTTCATAACAGTATAGAGTTTCATAAAGTCTGTGCAAGATGGATCCCTAAACCACTCACTTACGATCAAAATCATTTGAGACTTTGTCAATTCTTACTGATATGGAAGGTGGTATCATTTTGAAAAAGGTAATTAGAGAATGAAATGGAAACCCCCAGCGATCCAAAGAAAATTCTGATCACAACCTTCTGTAGGAAAAGTAATACTTACACTATCTGTCTATATTTCTGAGATGAGGTATTGTAACTATTTACATTGTTCAGATCTTTGTTGTCATATCCACAAAGTTTTGGCCATTGAACGTGCTAGCCTTCTTCAGGACACATGGCCCAGTGGATAAAAGTGTTGCTCGAAGTAACCAGTGACTTTACCCAAAGAGTTGTGATTTCAATATCTGGCCACATCAGAAGTGAACAAAAAGTTGGATAGTTGAGTTACTAAAGGGAAATGACTGAAACTAAGATATTTGGAAGAGGCATGGCATGTGAAACATGAACAATCTACCCCAGTGGATGAAATAAACCTACAATTTCAAGCAAGCAACAAGGTCTATTGTCAAAAGATGTTTTGCTTTGGCATGATTGTGTGCCCACAACATTTGAAATGCTTCGGGAATTAGGATTTCAGGTCTTGGAGCAACTCTCCTTAAAGTACAGGGGTTATTCCCTCAGATTAAAAGATCATTGATTTACTACAAACCAAAATGTGAAAACTGGCAGACACGAGACAGAACCTGGGATGAGCACAACTGGTTGCGACTTGCCTTGTCCCCGCCAAAAAAGAGCCCGTATTTGCTTAGCATGTAAAGCTACTGCAGTTGAAATGAGGGAGAAAAAAGCACTTACCGCTCTGCCGTAATCCGTACTCGGCCAGATAACGTAAAAGAATGAGGGGGGACTTGCATTGCATTGCATTTTTATGCAATAAAGATGCAATGCATTATGGGACAGGGACGCAATGAATTAAGGGATCACATGAAGATGCAAGGGATTATGGGTATATGGACAAATATAAAAGCAACTACTTTTTCCCAGTACAGTGAGTTCTTCGAGTGATGTTCACGGTTGGCGGCTAGAACATTCTGTTAGTGTGATCTTGAGACAGAACTCAAGAAGGAACGACTCGAGGTTGAAATACCAGTTGGGAGAGCTTGAATTTACTCGCTGGTTGCTGTTTTCTTTATTCACCACAAGCTATTTCGGCATATTGATTCTTCAAAATGGAAGGCAAGGTCTTTGACGTCTGTTTGATTCCAGAATTCAGCGGCGCCCCAACGGATATGCCCATTGTTGAATGGATAGAAAATGTGGAATTGGTCTACGAACTTTGCGCCATGGACAAGATCGAGCGTATGTTGCCTCTACGACTATGAGGTGGTGCCCTTGCTGTGTATAGACAACTCAGTGGAGAGCAGAGGGCAGATGCGGAACAAATTAAACGGGCCCTTAACTGCATACGCGACTGACAGATTTAATGCGTTCGACCATTTTATGGGATGGCGTCTTCGCCCAGGGGAAACAGTGGATGAATTCCTGGCTGAAATGCATCGTTTGGCGCGGCTAATAGGAGAACCGCTGCCTGATCGGTGGATGGCATGTGCATTTGTGTCAGGGCTGCCACATCATGTTAGGCAGCTTCTCAAAGCTTCGTCCAGGAAGGACGACATGAAGCTAGAACAGATTCTGACCCAAGCAAGGGCTATTATGACGGATGACGAAGGGTGCCAGGTATTGGCCGCCGCATCCGTAGAGCTACCGCGCTCAGAAGCTGAGGTTTCTCCCTGCCAAACCTGTTAGCAGAACGATTACCTGCTACAAGTGCTCTGGACCCAACCATATGGCGAAGAATTGTACACAAGGACATCAGGAGAGGTCAAACAGAATGCAGAGGTCTGGCCGCGACAAGCGGCGTTTTCGATGCAATGGCATTGGACACATTTCCTCAGAATGCCAGAGAAATGACCAAGGGGAGAAGGCGTCAGTGTCAGCCTTCTCCCCGAGCAAGTAAAAACCCGGAAGTTACCCACTGTACAAGTATTTGTAAATGGAGTAGAGTGCACAGCTCTAGTGGATTCGGGATGCTCACAGACACTGGTGAGCAAGGCTGTGTGTCGCTGCTGGAAGCAGGAAGAGGTGGGAGTGTTGACTGCCGACGGGAGGACCCTGAAGTGCCGTGGATACGGCAAAATTAAGTTAGGCGTCGAGCAGATTCAGCCCGTGACTGTTGAGGTTCTGGTCGTGGAAGGACAGTTGCTAGGGTTCGATCTTCTTCTCGGGATTGATGCAATCAGAGTGCTTGGAGGTGTACACCTGACTGAATCAGGCGAAGCGCATTTCCGAAACCTGAACACGTGCCGCCATTCTTATCAACAAGCCTGACTTTAGAGTGACGTTTAACTCGAGCACGAAAATGTGGACTGCATTGTGGAAGTGGGCGAGTGGTCATTCACCTAGCAAGTTGGTCAATAAAGTACAGGAGTACATAGTACCTGGCCATGTCCGGGATTAATACGATAAAGAACTAGCACGGTGGCAGCGAGACGGATGGCTACTGACATATCACGAGAAAGAGCTTGGCCCACCCAAGGGATTAATTCCCTTAATGGCGGTCGTACAAGAACACAAACAGAAGGTCCGGCTGGTACTTGACTATCGGGAGTTGAACGGCTTTGTAGACGCATTCACGGCTGATGCAGAGGTGTGTGCGCAGAAATTACGAGAATGGCGACGACAAGGAGCTGACATGTTGCTGTTGGATTTGAGAAATGCGTACCTACAGATCCACATTGACAAATCGCTATGGCCTTTTCAAACAGTGGTCATTAAGAGTAAGCGGTTTTGCCTTACGCATTTGGGTTTTGGCCTGAATGTGGCACCACTTGTCATGAAGTCAGTGATCGACAGGATAACGTCCCAGGATCAGGACATTAAGAGTGCCACGTCGGCATATGACAACGATATCTTCATAAATGAAGGCCTAGTTTCTGCAGCGCAGCATAAGACAGCACTTTGCAGATTACGGGCTAGTCTGTAAAGATCCGGAGCGATTGAGAGAGCGGAACTAAAGGTCCTGGGTCTGCAAGTCTTGAAGAAAGCAACTCCCTTTGATGGAAGCGGGGAGGTCAGGTTGCAGAAATTGCTCAAATGGTGACCCTTGAAGTGTATTTTCCTTGTCGGGAAACTCGTGGGTCATTTCCTGTGTGCGGTTGGCTTAGGGTGGCAACTGCATTTATTAAACGTTATGCAAGTACACTAACCAAAGGATGGGACGACGAGATAAAGGATGCCCCTCTTGGATGTATGCTGGAGGAAACAGTGGCCAAAGTGCGGGAATCAGGTCCTGTCGGTGGAGACTGGTGTGTGAACGGCAATGAAATGACAGTTTGGGTGGATTCAAGCTCTGTGGCTACGGGAGTAGCACTAGAGGTGAATGGGATCGTCGTGGAAGATGCTTGCTGGTTATGTTCAACTAATGATGCCAGGCACATTAATCTTGCTGAGCTTGATGCGGTGATCAAGGGCGTGAATCTTGCCCTGCAGTGGCAGGCACCAGTTATGCATGTGGACACCGATTCAGCATGTGTGCATTGATAGGTGTCTGACACCTTGACAGGAAAGACGCACGTGAACACGAAGGCGGCGAGTGAAATGCTGATGAGGCAGCGCTTAGAGACACTGCAAGCTTTGGTGGAGGAGTACGCACTGACTATGGCTGTGACGTTGGTAAAATCTTGTCAGAATCGCACTGACAGCCTCGCCAGAGAACCGGTGCAAGTGAGTTGTGCCACTGCAACGAGCCAGTTGAGCAAACGTCAGGTGACCCACATCCACCAGCAGAGTGGGCACCCGGGTGTTAAAAGAACAATATACTTTGCTAGGACCGTAGATCCAACGGTGTCTAAGGAACTGATAAAATCTGTTGTTAGAACCTGCGAAGCCTGCCAATCGATCGATCCAGCACCAGTGCATTGGAAAAAAGGAAATTTGAGTGTGAGAAGAAACTGGAGCAGGTTAGCAATGGACATGACCCATTACAATGGTAGCCATTTTCTTACACTCATTGATTGTGGTCCTTCCCATTTTGCAGTATGGCGGCCACTGAGACGGCAAGACTCTGCTGGTGTTATTCGTCAGCTGGAGACAGTCTTCTACGAACAAGGCCCACTGACTGAAATACTGACTGACAATGACACCACGTTCACTTGCAGACAATTTAAGGAATTTGTAAGCAGCTGGGGTGTGCATTTAAGGTTCCGGTGCGCTTACATGCTGTCTGTAAATGGCATTGTGGAATGCAACCACAGAAGCATCAAAACCATAGTGGCCAGGAAAAATTGTTCAGTCTTGGAAGCGGTTTACTGGCATAACATCACACCCAAGGACAACCTTTCACCTTCCACGGCACCGGCTGATGTACTGCACACATACCACATCCGGGTGAGAGGCATTGACGCGATGCCCCCGCCTGAATCACAAATAACCAAAGGGGAATACAAGAAAGGGGACATTGTCTTGGTTAAAACTCCACGTGGTAAATGCATGACCAAATTTAGAACCGGACGTGTGACCGAGGTGGTGAGTTGGCAGTCAGTGCGGGTCGATGGAACACCTCGTCATGTTAGAGACCTGCGCCCTTTTTTGGGCTCAAATCCCACAACTGACGAAGAAGACACAGAGGATAGTGAACAGCCAATATACGTAGAGTTGGATTCAACAACCAATCACTCCAATATCAGTAGTTTGCTAATAGATCGGGACGTGTCTAATGAGAGCTCCTCCAATGAAGAAGCTCAACCAATCCCCCTTCGGAGGAGCACCCGGAACAAAAGACCGTGTCCGCACTGTCATCTGTGTGATCAGGAGATCGGGGGGAGTGTGGCAGACATGAGACAGAACCTGGGATGAGCACAACTGGTCGCGACTTGCCTTGTCCCCGCCAAAAAAGAGCCCGTATTTGCTTAGCATGTAAATCTACTGCTGTTGAAATGAGGGAGAAAAAAGCACTTACCGCTCTGCCATAATCCGTCCTCGGCCAGATAACGTAAAAGAATGAGGGGGGACTTGCATTGCATTTTTATGCAATGCATTATGGGACAGAGACGCAATGAATTATGGGATCACATGAAGACGCAAGGGATTATGGGTATATGGACAAATATAAACAACTACTTTTTCTCAGTGCAGTGAGTTCTTTGAGTGACGTTCACAGTTGGCGGCTAGAACAGTCTGTTAGTGTGATCTTGAGACAGAACTCAAGAAGGAACGACTCGAGGTTGAAATACCAGCTGGGAGAGCTTGAATTTACTCGCTGGTTGCTGTTTTCTTTATTCGCCACAGTATACAAGGCTGAGGGAGTTGACCAAAAACTTTTTTTCTCGGGGCATATCCAAACTTATGGAAAGTTGGGTCCTTTGCATAGCAAAACAACAGGACTATATTGAAAGACTAATATATTTGTAACTTCTGTACTGTCTGGTTGTTTTTCTAATTAACCATTATATAAAAATATAGTTAATTATTGACTCATCCTTTGGATTCTAATGAGTGAAACATTGTGAATCTTTAAGTCATATAAGTATACTGAAATTTTTATATTTTGCATACAATAATCATTGCTTTAGATATCTATTGAGCATTTTACAGACAAAATTCTGTTCACCTTGACATGTGTTAAATTATATCATTTTATGTATATAAATAGGTGTTATTATTATTATTATGTGTGTGTGTATGTGTGTTGATACTTGTAATGAATTAATGACTAAATTTTTGACCGTTTGACAATCTAAAACATTGTCCATAGTGACAAGTAGAGAATGTTCTGGTCCTGTGAGAAACATTCTCTTTTAATTATTGCTTTTTATAACCATTTCTCTTGACTTTTTCTCTGCAGATGTTGAAAAGGAAAGTTCTGAAAGTGTTGGCTGCATCTGATTCTAAAGAGAAACAAAAATACCATGAGTGAGTTTTCTTCCTGTGTCTTGGGGAAATTCTGTTTTCATGTTCATTGAGAAATTGAAAAACTTTTTAGTTACTTGTGCCAATTCTTCATAATCTTGAAGATTATGTAATTAATCTTCAAAATATAAACAATACTTTTTCAAAGTTTTTTTTAACAGTAAATAAGGATAAACTCCTCACTTATTTATACAGTTAATATAATTGACTTTAAATTGAAATTATTAAATTTCACATAAATTACAGAAATCTGTTTTTTTTTTCTGGCAAGTATCATTTTATTGAAAGTTAAAGATTTTATAGTCTTTAAAGGAAGAGAAATTAAAAAACAGCTTTCATTAAAATTGTTGTATTTGAATTTTTAACATTTCTTAGAAAAAAATCTTTATTAGAATTAAATTCAAATATATTTACGATAGATTTTCATTATATCTTTTGATTTTTACTCTTGCTAATGATGTTCCTTTTTTAAATTTCTTAAAGAGATTTACTTCCTGAATTGATGTTGCAAACCAAATATGTTATTGATTTAAGGTAAGAGTTTTTTTTTTATTTATTTGCATTCATATTTGAGTGCTGTACAGACACACTTTCTATATTTGCTATCCCTCTCATTCCTTGTCTCACCATCCATTTTTCAAATGTTGTTTTTATCACGATTTTTACTGATAGCCTTTTCTCATTTGTGTGGTGGGGTCTTTAAAAGTTGCTTGATACCAAATAACACTGGTTGTAGCAGGCTGAACAACTTATCAGTTAAAAATATCAATGATAAAGATTAAATTTCAAAATTTAAAATTATTTTTTTTTTTTTTTATAAAATAAAGTGCATGATTTGTAAAAATGTCTAAAATGATGTTGAATTTGTAGCAGTGGTGTTTAACACCTTCAGTGCCAATGTTTTTTGTGTATAAACTAAGATGATGCAAATTTAAAAACGGGGCACATTTAAAGTAGGTAAAACATTCCCGACACTGAAGGTGTTCATTTATAAATTTAGCAAGGGAGGTAATTATCCTAGCTGTTAACCATAAAGGGAGATAATTTACTCACCGATAAGCCAGCATTTTTGTTTTTGAAACTTAGGAATCAATCTGTGTCATCATCATAATTTCTCTGATTTTTGAAAGTTGTTTATGATTGTGCAACGTTTTCTTTACTTAAAAAAATTGTTTCTTATAGACATGTTCTTTTAAATATGATATAGTTGAAGACCGCATTGTCATAACAAAGGATTGTGGTCATTAACATTTAATTAAACACATTTTCAATGATTGCTTTTTTATTTTATGCTATTATTCACTTTATTGAGATATTTTTAAAATGTTCTGCTACCTCCAATGTTAACTTGAAACAATGCTGTTTTGTTCCATTCATGTTGTATAGTACTTGCTGTAAATGATATAAGATAGGTAACTTGCAAATATAGCATAATGGTTATAGTAGTAAAATGGTGGCTGGCATTTTGAAGGTTCCAAGCCATTAGAATTTTATTTGCAAGCAATAATCACCCTCCTTTCAGCAGTGGTTACTCATGTTATGACCACTAGTGAAAGCAGTATAATTTTGGACATGAAAATATTAATATTTATTAAAGGACTAAATGCAAGAAAGAGAGCCTTTTTTTTCAGTGTTATTTTCTTTTTAGATCTAAGTGTGCTAATGAACCTCTTTAACCTAGCCATATGGTTAGACCTTAGGTCTGATCTTACAATCATTGAGGCTGTAATTGTAAAATGCCCATAAAATATATATTAGTTTGACCAAAATGTTTATTGGCTTATTAATTAGAAAATCTACTTAAACAAACTTTTTGGTCAACCTAATATATCACAAATAAAAATGTGTAAAATGTTCCGTTTCCATGAACAATGATCATCACCAATTAGGTATGCAAGAAAACTCTTGTAAGACTGATACTATTTATTCAAAGCTTATTTCTTTGTTATTGTTTTTTCTAATTGTTTATTTATATTCATTTTCTAGTCTCAATTACCTGCTTGTGTGCCCGAAGCGTTTAGGCTATCAAGGAACCCATATAAAATATTTGGATTTGTCTCATAATATGATCAGTTTTATCCCTGAGGAGATTACCTTGTTGAAAGGGCTTGAATATTTCGAAGTTTCCAATAACCATTTGTCAGAACTTCCTGTAAGATTACCATTTCTTTACATTTCACATAACATTTTGTAAATGTCTTGAATAGAAATCTTAAATGAGAAGCTGTTTTAATCTCAGAAACTTTGCTTCACATAAAACAACTCCAAAGACTTGTTATTTGAAATTCTAAAGTAAAGTCATTATTTGATGAATTATTCAGTCATCTCTTCATCTTTACTGGCAAGAAAAATATCTGAGTCATTAAACAAACATGTTCTTAAATTTTGTCTTCTTTGAATAGAATTAAACTTGAAATACAAATGAATTAAGAAACAAAAAGACAGTAAAATGAACATTTTTCTCTCAGTGAAAAAAAAAGAAAAAAGATAAAAAGCATTATGTCCATTTTTTTTTTTTTTTTTTTTTAAACGTTTTAACATGTGAAGATAATTTTCTTTTATATGTTTGTATTTTTATTTTATCATATTTCAGGAAAATATTGGCCTTCTTTCCAACTTGAAGTATATTGATGTCCATCAAAATAAACTTAAATGTTTACCAGGTAAGCACTTGCTTCAGTGATCTTTTGCGGTCGTTTAACTAGTGGTGTAATTTCTGTCTCTCAATTTCATATACAAGAGATACCATGAATTTTGGCTATGATTTTAATAAAATTGTTTATACATAACTTGATTACACAGATCACTATCCCTACACTCTCAAATCACAATTGACATTTAACTTTTATATACAAATACTTGTTGTTTTCCTCGCTGGACAATATTGTCTTTATATTTGTCTTTGATGTTTCTTTGCCTTTCATGTCTGTAGTTTGTGAGTTAAAAAGCTTTTGTATGTTTCCTTCTTTATTATTTTAATGTTATGATCTGAAATGAAATTGTAGGCATTAATGCAGTAATTTTCTGAATTATTATATATTATTTTCAGTTTTATAAAATGTCAATTAAGTATAAAAAAGGAAGTATGTTAAACTATGGTAATATCAATAAGTTGTTATGTTGGAATTTTTAATCTTGTCATTTAGAATTTAGGATCATGGTAGGAAATCCAGTGTTGCTTTAAGACTTTCCATCAAGTATATTGATTCAAAAAGTGGTGTCACTAGATTGTGTTAATTGTTAAATCTAGGTTCTAGTAGTGAGGGAGAGTGACTGAAAGATTTAGTCATGAAGCCAAGGCTTTATCAAATCTATATGTGACACACGCGTACATACAGACATGTGTCCAGTTAACCATTCCTGGGGTCTGGGGCTTATGGTCATGTCACATTGAAACACTGGTTCTTATATGATCACCAAAGTTGAGCCTGGTCAGTAACTAGATGGGTAATCACTTGGGAATACCATGTGCTGTAAGCTTGGATGTGTTGGTAGCGTAATGGCTACCTACTTGGAATTGGAGATTGAAGAGTTCCAATTCCAGTCAGTTCCATTATATTTATTCACTTGTGCTCAAATACCCTTGGGAAAAGTATGAATCCACCTATTCTCCTACCAGCTATGGGTTAATTAGTAGGCTCATCAGTAAATCATTATCTCAAAAATATTCTTGCAATCTAAAATTCTGGCTTTAAATAACCTGCAAAAAGTTGATAAGTCATAAAAGACAAATGAATCAATCAAAATTTCTCCTCCTCCCCCTGAGCTTCACTCCCGTTCTGACTCATTCTCTAACCTAAATCTTGTGAATTGTTTGCACAATGTGTTGTATGTAACAATATCCCATGAAGGAAGATTTTTACATCTTGAAACTTTATCGTATCAATAGATTTTAAAGACTGTTTGGTTGTTATTAATTCTTTCTTTTCTTTTTTTTTTTTTTTTTGCAGTTAAAAATACAATTAGATATCATTTTAGGTATTGTAGATGCATTAGTTTATATTTCTACTTTATTGTGTGAGCTTCCATATGTTCAGTGCCAAATAAAATTAGTTTTTTTTTATTTTTTATTTTTTACAATTTTGCCCTTTTGCTATCTGATTCATTCTTTTTAGTTTCTTTTCTTTCAAAGATTCCATTGGATCGCTTAAAAACCTGAAAGAACTGAATATTCGAAACAATGAACTCGGACAATTACCTGCAAGTATTGGCTCATTATACAACTTATTAGATATTTATGCTGGGTGAGTCAACCTACCTGACTTTTTTCAATAATTATCTATCACCTGCTCTACTTGTTTTTTTGATATGTAAGCATTTAGGCTGACTTGTCACAACATATACAAACTAAGACTGTGATTCTTACTAATAGAAAAGTTTTTTATTTAATTAATTTTACAGTAGTTGAATACAAGATAAAAATTTGCATTCCTTGCTAATTATACTCATGCACACCCCATCTTTTGTGCATTTCAAGCAGCAATAACTAATTGAAAAGATAATCTTTTGTTAAAGATTTTTTTTATTTTCTTTATTTTCCAGTTCACAATATTTCAGAAAAGTTCTTAGGTTTATGTTTGGTAAGAATGAACTGGTTGAAATGTTATAAAGAAGAATAAACTAAAATCAGTAGGATAATAGAAGATATCAGATACAGAAAACAACAAAGATGGAAATAGACCAAAACATTCATTAAATATTAACAATAACTCACCTCAACTCTCTGCCAGAAGAGCTGGCATTTCTTTTTTTGTCTTGTGATATTTCAGTTGCTTAGTTGTTAGCAATCATAATTGAAATACTAATGAAATTGTTCTTATTAAAAAGGTTTCAAATGAAATGGACTTGGAACTTGTAAAGGAATCCTGACAGCTGCCTTTTACACAATGCCAAGTGGATATTTGGCTCTATTCAGTTGAATGAAACATTTTGGGATTCATTATTTTATTCCTGAAGGGTTGGAATTTGTTTTTATTCATTGAATCAATAAAACTTTATTTTTTACTAATTCAAGGCCTATCAGTTGCCATAACCTTATTGTTAATCTCACTCAAAGTTGTTTTCTGTTGCCATAGCAGGATATGACAACACAACTATCAGATTCAAACACAATTGTTCAGAGATCAGACTCACCTTCAATGGCAGGATAAACTTTTAGTACCACAAATGAAGTCACATCCAGAGTGACAACGGTTAACCACAATCTTATTATTCATTTTAATCACTGCTACTCAAACTGTTAGTCTATGGCCAACAGTAAAAAGCATAATAAAAAGCAACTAAAATTAAAATGTAATAAATATTAGTGAAAAAAAAAAAAATGGTAGACAATGCTTCATTTATTAAAAAGAGAAAAAAATGGAAGATAATCATAAAACTTTTGAATTGATTTTCTTCAGAGTTTCATATATTCATTGTATAAAATCAATTCCTTTTTACATTTTTTGCAGCCACAATAGACTAGAAAATCTACCAGAGGAATTATTCAATATACACTCTTTGGAGGTAAATTTATTTTGTTTATTGAGTTGGATAGATATGGACAAGAATATGACTGCTTTACACACATTGTTCATAAGATAGCCTTAACTGTCAACATCAAAGGAAATGATACTTGAGTTTAGAAAATATTAAATATTAATAATATAATAATTAATAATATATTAATAATAGTTTAGTAATAGTAAATATTCTCATGTCAGAAATTGTATTACCTTACTAGTAAATATTACCAACTTATGTTCACTCTGAAGCAAATGTCTAACTATATAAGATATTTTCAGATCCACATGTGTGTGTGTATATGCACTTTATGTTGCTGCTGCTGCAAACATTTGTCACTGTTTCAAAATGAAGTGTTTTTTCTCTATTTTACATTGTTTGCTTCAAACTTAAATCTTGTGAAAAATTTTGTAATTTAACCAAATAGAAGGCAGTATTTAGCTGACAAACCTTATCTAATATGTAATAATTATTTGAGGTTTACAAGATATATTCTCTCAAAAAAGAACAAAACAAATTATATACACAAAAGAAATAGAAATATAGATAGATAAATGAGTTAAATATTTGAGGGTTTGCTGAAAAGTTCATAGCCCAACTAAGAAGGTATTCAAAAATAAATTCTGAAGTTTGTTCATTTGGTCAGATTTCAACACACCCTCTCATAGAAATCTATAATAATTTGTGTCTGCCCATACAAATAGAAGAGGTTGAATCAAATAAGCCCAGAGTCTGACATGTGAAATTTTCAGTGTATAATGTTCAATCTCTCATTAATATTTACTACTAGAATGCATTGATAAGGAAAAAAGGCAAATTAAAAATGAATATAAAAGATAATTTGAAACTAATGATTGCATTTATTTTCATGGAAACTTTTCAGTGAATAAAAAGTTATTTTCCCCTTATAGTCAATACCATTGGAAATGCATTTTTTGCCAGTACTGAACAAGTAAAGGTAGCACAACTTTTTAATACAAACATTGCTGCCATCACAGCTGAAACACATGGCCCACTGCCTATCTGTGCTCATATCCGTTGTGTGGTTTCTGCAAGATGTGAACAAGTATTGATAGTGCAATTTATTCCATATAGAGAAATTCAATGATACACCTGTTTCATATGCATTTTCATATTGATTGCCATTTTACTAAACAGCCACTCTCCTGCCATCTGTAACAAGCCTCCCTCCCTCCAAAAAAAAAAAAATTATGGGATATATTTGTGGAAAGGTTCAATCTCTATTGTCATCCAGCAACATACAGGCCAATATAGATAAAATAAGAGAACTGCTTTTTCATCATTTGTCTGTGAATTTATTGATGCACCTACACACATTTATATATAGTTGTACAGATCACTGAATGAAGGCAAGAAACCATTCTTATTTGAATCGACTGGGCTACTAAAAACTATGTATTTGTGCCATAAGTACAGAATTGTAAAAAAACAAAACAAAACAAAAAAAATAACTGTTACAAAGCTCCAGGTTTGATAGAATATGTGAATCAACTCAAGAAAGCAGTCTTGTATTTTCATCACGCAGGTTATATACATATTTCTTCTCTCTTTTATATACATACATATATATATATATATATATATATATATATATATATAATATTTCAATCATGTTTTTTTTTGTAATTGTTGACATCTGTCAACTGATTTTATTTTAAATCCCTTTTTAAAGGTTCTAGATATTTCCAAGAATATAATTCAGGAACTACCTCATAGAATTGGAAACTTGCGCAAATTGGTGCTGTTGGATGTGTCCAATTGCCAACTGAGCAATCTACCTATTCATATTTTGAAGTGTGAGGCTCTTTCTCACCTAAGGGCCAATAATAATCAGTAAGTAAAACCATTTTTCTTATAAAATGTACTGAATTTCTTTCTATGTTCTTTTTGATGAAACTATTTACTTTTGGTAATAATTATTTAAGTTTTAATAGCCAGATGTAATGAAATGGATAAAGAATTTGCAACTAAAATAGAGGCCAATGAACTGTTTAATCAAACTATTCCCTTTATATTTTTTTAGATGTTCAATAGCATCTATGATTCCTTGATTACTCCTGCTATTATATAAATTATTTTTGCTCAATATATTTTCATGTTAAAAACTTTGTGTTTAATATAACTGAAATGGAAATCTCTCAGAAGAAAAAAGTTCAGCAACAGAACAACAAAGATGGCGGCAACAAAGCTTATTTTAAAACCAATTTGAAGCCAGACTATCACTTAATAGACAATGATATCTGAGTGCCTCACATGAAAGAGTTGAACAAATAAGACAGCAATCTAAGAAACATAGGAGTAAGAGAACTGATTAATTAAATGGTTCATTTTGCTCTGGAAGTAATTTTGTCTAAATGCAGATAAATATTTGTATAGATTATTAAAATGATTAAGGGAAATAATCACTGATAAATTTACTGACTGAAGTTGATTTACTTCCCTTCCCACTACAGATGGGACAGGAAATATATAAATAAAATTATTATATGGTTTGATGTACAAATGTATCATTAAAGTTATTTTTTTTTAAGATTAATATGTTCTTTACAAAAACTTTGTTTTAAAAATTATTTCAAATATTAACATTGTTTTTCTGTTTAACATGTAAAGCAAGAAATCAAATATCTTTATTGTTGAATCAGTTTTTATCTTTGACATGATCCAGATATGTTAATACAATAAATAAAATGGAAAAACAACATTAATGGATTGGTCTATTATTTCAGCTGTTAAGGTGCAAAAAAATGGTGTGTTAAAAAGGACAGTTATTCTAATATTACTGTATACACTTTTAACTCCCTCAGAAATGTTTATTTACAAGATTATAAAAATATGTGAACCAAGTACAAATCGATATTTGTTATTACTATTTACCATATTTTTTTTATTTGGTCAAGCTATCTTGGACATTCATGAGTCTATCACGTCAACCTTCAAGAAGACACATTGCGATACCCAAAGTGCTTTCTAAAAACTAAGCAGAGTATTAAGAGACATGGAAACTGTGTTAGAAAAAAGGAAAAGAGTACTAAACTGTTTATGTGATGCCTGTCCTATAACCATCTTATATGGCAGTGAATGCTGGACAATCTCCTCTAATATGAAGAAAACATTTGAAGCAACAGAAATATGGTTCTACAGAGGGATGATGAGGACACCATGGACTGAATATGTGGATAATGATGAAATTCTAGAGAAAATGGAAACAAAAAGAAAACATATACTTAAAATTAGTCAGAGACAGCTGAAATTTCTAGGACATCATACGGAAAGAGGGTTTGGACATTCTGATATTCACAGGGCAGATTGAAGACAAGAGAGACAGAGGGAATGGATGCATAACATAATTAATGAGCTTCACTAAATTGATGGCAGAATAGGGTTTGGGAGAAATAACAAAAAGACAAAATTGATTAAGAGCTGCAAAGGACAGGAAAGTGTGAAGAACTGTGATCACCCGTGTCCTGAAGGGACACAGCACATGAAGAATAAGAATAGTATTTAATATTTTTGTTGTCAATTCACAAGAATAAAGAAAATGTATAAATCCATTTTCATGTGTTTGGGTTTTATTAAAATGCTCTACACCATTTTTTAAAAACAATAAATATTGCTGAGGAAGTCTAAAGTGTATACAGTAATAGCAGTGGCAAGGGAATAACCATCCTTTTGTTATGCTGTTTTTTTTGGGGGCACAGATTAAACATTGCCAAAAAAACCTTTATCACTTTGTTAATAGCAACAAAACTGATGCTTGGTATTATATTTCTTCTGACTAGAGTAAATATCCTATTATTTCACATTAGATTAACATATTTTCAATCAGACACTTTGTTGTTGGGGGATAATGGTTAGCAACCTTGTCTAGTTGATCATTACTACTGAGTGGGGAGCATAATCCTCACTGGGTGCCTCATGCCTGTCTTCTTCCAAAAGTAAGCTATACTTAGTAAATAACTTTTTTTTGTACACATACCTTGTGTGTGTATGTGAGAGAGAGAGAGAAAATGTTTCACATTATTCTGAAGTAATTTTCTCTTTGTATTAAAATGAAGAATAATCTAAAACATCTACTTTATATATAATCTTGTTTTATTAACAACTATTATTGTCAGTATAATGAGTTGTTTCAAATATTTGGGTGAATTACAATAATCAAGTATATATCAAGTGAAATAATTTATTAATTCATAATAAAAATTACCTCCTGTATACACTTATGGAGGAATATAAGTAAACAGTATTATTTGATTCCGATTTGACATTTAATAAGATAAACACCTTAACCAGTCTGTGTGTGTGTATGGCGCATCCGTCTGTCTTGAGAGACCATGGATCTTTGGACCAAAAATTATGTCTCAACTACTGATGGTGGCACAGCATCTATTATGGCTGTACAGGCCCACACAGGAGTTGACAGTCTCAGTTGCAATAAATGCATGTGAAGATGCTTTCCCCTGATGTCACAATATTTTCTTTCCTTCGAGTATGCTTCACCCTGGCCGTTTCTTCTCTCCTTGTTCCAGCTCTGTATAAATCACGTCTCCAGCTTGTGTGATTGTTGGCAATGTCTTCCCACCTCTCGATGTCCATCGTTTTCATGTCCCTTTTGCAGACATCCCTGAAGCAAAGATAAGGTCACCCCTTTTACTAGTGGCCAGTTGCCCATACAGAAGGACCTTCAGAATCCTCCCATCACTAGACAATGCCTTCTAATCAAAAATTTTGGCAATTGTTGGAAAATGGGCCAATGACAAGATATGGGAATTCTACTTCTAAGTATGAAATGTAGAATGTGCAGTTCAATAATGGAAAAAAGGAAACCCCAATATCTTATTTAAGTTGACCTAATCCATCAAAGAAAGGAAACCACTGTATCTTGTTCAAGTTGACTTAAGTCACCAGAAATGTGTCACTGTGCAATGAAATGGGTAATTGAACAAAAAGTCTCCCTTGCAAGATATCAGATTTGTCAGAATGCATTTGAATCAACTTAAGGAAGAAGTATGGTATCTTTATTACAAATATTTTTCTTTTAGCACAGCCAGATGAAAGCCATGGGATTGACTAGGTTAATCTTTATTTGTTCAATTTTCAAACAACTATTTCTTTAGTTTGTTGAATAAATGCTCTTGACTGAATAAAAGAAAAAGTGGTGTCTCTTCCATGTCATGTCTTCCATGTCTTACATGTGCAAAAATAAGTTCTTACCAAGATATGTGCGCCTGCTATTAGTAACAGTCTAATTTCAAAAGCCATTATCATTAAATTTGATCCTCTCTGAGTGCCCCACTTTTATGACATTGTACCAGACTGTGAACTTTAATAAGTAACTATTTGAATGTGTATGCCTGTTAATAGGCTTGTCTTGGAATCTTTTGTGAGTTAGCTTGATCTTCTATGAGCACTCAGTTATTGTGACATTGTGTCAAACAAAGATAAGCATAGTAAATATCTGTTCTTTACTTTTTAAAATGTTTAATATTTGAATCTTATGAGCTTGGTGAATATTTTGCTCACCCCTATCCTGATTGAAATCTTCCTTTCTGCTTCTTTCTTTTAGTATTTCTGAATTACCTGACCGATTTGGTGTGATCCAGTCTTTGACATCTTTAGAAATAAAAAATAACAAATTACGATATCTTCCAGCATCTCTTGCAAATCGATGGTTCAATACACTCAAAGGTAAGTGAATTGCAGAAGCTTTTCTTAATGATTTTGGGTTTAAGAATTTATTTAAAATAACATTTGACAACACATTTTTGAAAATAACCATAAAAGTAAACTTGGATAAATTTCTTGTGTGTCAAAATGTCATTTCTCTGTGTTTAAATTTTCATTTTTGGTATGTGACATAGTTATCAACAATTTGTCTAAGCTGTATCTCCTACATGAAAAATAAGCCCTATTAGTAAGCCAAACTTGGAAAATGGAGGAGCCAGCAATTTAAATAAAAAATAATTTATTGATAATAAATAAAAGTTAGTTGGGAAATGTAATCCAGAAAAAAAAATCTACAAAAAATAATGTAAAGATGATAGGGAAGTGGGTAGGTGGTTAAAGCAAAGTCTTTGGAATTAATTTCCATTTGCAGTAAACTCCTTTCCTCTTCAAAATATATAACAAAATCAACAGTACATTTGAAGAAAAAAAAACATGCAAACTACAGATCACTATGTTCCAAAGCCAAATAGCATCCCCAAAGACTAGAATATATAAACAAGACAAAATTTGACATGAAGAAAGTAGAATAGACAAAATAAAAATTTATGAAGCCTGAAAAGTCAATAACAAGTATGAACAGGATTTCGAAAAAAAAAACGGTTTGTGTGCATGGGTGCCATGATATTGTATCCATTCTCTATGGTGTTCTGGTAGAGCAGTGGTAAGGTTCATATAGTCACACAAGATTTTTTTTTTTTTTTTTTTTAAATAAATCATTGCTGGTCTGATCAATTCCCAAAGTGATTTCTGCTCTGTAAATATTTAAATTTTCATTTTTGGTATTTTACTCCTGATTATCAACTTTAATTTTGTTTAGTCTTTCCTGCATCTTGTTTTTTGTCACAACTTTCACAATTGTATGCCCTCTGATCATTTAAATAAACAGTTGCAAGTAAGGATAAAGAAATGAGGATTTGAGTTTGGCTCATTAGAAGCCACTTCTTTATACTTTATAGTAGTGTCTTTAATGGTCAGAGAAAGTTGAGATAAAAAGTAACAATGAAGAAAATATTAGCTAAAGATTTTATCATGAAAATATTTAATCTCAAAATTTAATCCCAAATCTGAAGCAATACCCACTTATTAAAATTCCATAAATTATACTTATTATAAAACCCAGGTTGTGTGTGTGTGTGTGTGTGTGTTCGTTTATATATTGGATCGGATTTCCTACATTTTTCAACCGATTTCAACAAAACTTCACAGGACTACGTAAAATTACCTTGTGGTAGTTCTGACAGTGCCAAAAATTGGAAAAACAATTGTTTTTGCACAAAATCAATTTGAAGACATGATTAAGAGGCATCGCTGTTTCGAGAATGAAAGGGGGACAACTCATATCAAGTTATACTTATTATGAAACCCAGGTTGTTTGTGTGTGTGTTCGTTTATATATGGGATCGGATTTCCTACATTTTTCAACCGATTTCAACAAAACTTCCCTTTTTTTTTGTTTCTTATTGTCTTGCACACTTTTTTCTTTATTTTTACATTCAGAATGCTTTAAAAATTCCATTTACAAGACAATTGTTTATAATAAAATTGAAAAATTCTATTCAATTGGTAGACTCATAACGATTGAAAACATGTTTTTGTTTGAGTTTGGGTTTGACTAATTTGTAAAAAAAAACAAAACAAAAAAAAATAATTAAGACATGCGTGTCTGTCAACCTTAAACAATAATCTTTGTCAATTTTATTTTTCAGTCTTTATGATGGTCGATACTTGATCTATCTCTTACTGTTACATCCCCGGGCAACACCGGGCTCTACTGCTAGTTTCTAATAACTGAATGAAAAGAAACTAGTTTTGAACTGGGCAGAATAGGGAACATAGACAAAGTTCTAACAACTTTTCATGTAATATTCATAATTTCTTTTTCTTAATGAATGCCCTGCTTGAGTTGTGGTGAAAAGGGGTCTTATATACAGTAATTTAGTACTATCAGTTAATTTTTAAAATTTTTTTGTTTTGTTTTAAGCATGAAACCCAAGATGAGATCCACGGAAAATGTCTTGCTCATCGTAATAATAATAATTAATAATACTGTGAAAATCATTTGACTATTTTTGTCTTTAATTTAGAATTAATTTTGCTAAACATGTTTATGAAAAGTTTGATATCGAAATTATTTGGTGTTCTTATTTTAATAAATTGCTTTTGTTTTGGTTTTTTTTCCACTTTGATAAGTT